ACAGGAGTGAATGTTTCTTTTTTGATATGCTATCGAATGGCGCAAACGGCGCTTCATTCGGCTCAAGGGCACATTTGACCCCCTTATCCAGCTAGGCCCTTTTAACATGTCGTTTTAAAAACTTTACTCAGTATTATCAAAACCTGATTGTTAATTCTATTACTGATAGAACTCTCTTGGAAACGTTTGACTGCGACCGTGAATATTAACGGTGTCGCAAGCCGATGGTAAAAGATGCTCATCCTATATAAACGAAAAATATATCTAGTCACGTAAGTTTCCGTTTTATAATTTTTCGTTGATCATTTTTTAATCTTCCTGTGAAGACAGGAAGGAATATGTACGAGGCAAAAACTAGTCATTAACTTGTAAGAGAATTGTATGACGATTTAGGTGTTGATTCACCGGTCATACGTTCACGTTAAATTGTAAGTCTATTTAAATCTAGATTAGAGATTAACCGGCGTAACTCCGATTGATTTGAACAAGGCGTAGGGATGTTAGCCGATATGCCAAGTAATTTATAGATAATTAATAGGACTACTTAATAACTAATTAATACCTTCGGTTATGAATTGTCACTCTGATCCGTGTCCATGCATACGTAAATTATTTTTCGTTAAACTTACCCTGCGACGAATCCGACGAACCACTTCAGGTCTCCAGACAATACTTTTCGACGGTGTCCCCAATCTAAACGAAGGAAAAACGATATTAGTTTCCTGATGCGAACTATTTAAACTATCTGTGACCATCCCGCTTTTTGTAACAGCGCAAAGCTTTTTCACCTGCGGCGTGACGGTCTGTTTGTGTTGGTACATTAAATGGATCCCGAAAGGACTTTTTTCGTGAAAAGTTCGAATCGGGACAAGCAGTTTCCAGCTCGTGATCTCAACTACGTGTAATATCGCATAATCTTGCGATATCCAAGACGGCGTTCGTGTATGTAAAGCGAAATATTTATTTAAACACATTCTGCATGTATAGATTATATCTTAGAGAAGTTATTTAAAATAGTGACGTGATAGTGACAAGTGTTTAATCGATGCGTGCACGATGAGTCGAATGAATGGAGATTAAAAAGCGAGGGAGAATAGCTGCAAATTCGTCGTCTTTGCGTGAGGAGGTCGTAAGTTATGAACAGAGACAAGAAATTATTTTATTTTTCCTGATAACTATTAATCCTATAATATTAAATCTTGTAATATATCAAACACTGTTGGAGTGTCATGTTACGTATTTTGTACGCCCTGTACGACTGCGAGATACGTACAACTTCAATGACCGCGAGTAGCGAAGAATTTTAGTTAATCCCTAAGCAATAACATGTGTTGAACATCAGGAAATGATTTTTGTAACCCGATCAAAGTAAATTATCATTGACACATTCAGTACTTCGTTCGAAAACTGATCTGAGGTTGAAATTCGTCGATCAAATTGGGTCTTGATCAAACCTGTACGACCTCCATTTGTTGTTACCCCTATAGAAACGTCCCAATCTGAGCTCAAAATTATTCGTTAGCGCGCGTGTAGTAATTAAATTTCGTAGATATTAAATATAATCCTGTTAACGCCGATTCGATAGCGATTAATTGTAAAGAAGAAGTTAGTAGCATCGTTGTTGTTCTTCTAATGATTACTGAACCGAGACAAGAGAGGAAAAAAATAATGAAAATTGAGGCAAAATGTTCTGTACAGATGGCGAGAGTCTGTAAAGATGCAATTAATTGAATTGTGCTAAAAAGATCGACGATTAGTAGAATTTAGTGAGAACGTCCGTTGTTGTACGAAACGAGCAATGAAACAGAAACCCCTCGAGTATAGGTACGCATTACATGCCTTCCCCGCGAACTTTCTCATTACAGATTAATCATGCAAAGTGAACTCTTTTTTTTTTTTTACAAAACGCTAAGGCTTAATATTTTTTTTTGCAAATATTTTAGTTATCAAGCTGAACGCCCTACATTCGTAATTGTACACATATCGCGCACTTTTTACGATTTCTCCTGACCGCTAGAGTTGACCAAAGATAGTATATTTAAATAAATTCGAGCGCAATGACCCTCGATCCACGATATCAACGAAAAATAAGGATAAGAACAATGTTTATCGTTCGTAAAACGATTAATACCTCGAGTAGTTTTATAAAAGTTTTAGTTAATCGTTTTTTAGATGCACGGTTTAATTAACATCTTGGAGATTTCGTTGATAATTTTGTCAGTGTTGCGTGCACGAACTTTGATCTCGATGAGAGCACATGAAATGGTTAGAATAGAGAAAGAGAGCGTGAGAAAAAGAGAAAAGTATGTAGAGAAACGATGTTTCGCTTCGATTGTTGCGAATGATTTAACTATTCCTGGCGATACCAGTGCAGTGGTATGGCAGAAGAAAGATGACTCAAACATTCCGTAAACTAAAAGAATCGAAGTAGAATACATCTGACCTTCGAACTGTAATTTATAAATATATAAATATATATATATATATATATATACATATACGTATATACAGGAAGACGTGTATGTAACGCCGTAATGTGTAATTAAACATGTATGTATGATCTATAATTGTGATGTAATAGTAACCAATTGCGATGTATACAAAGTAACTAAAAAGATGAAGGAAGAGAGGCGACTGTGAAGGGTGAATTCACTCATCTGTCGGCATATTATGTATTATAATTTCGCAAACAAGGGACGAGAGAATCAACTTTTGAAGAAGTAGAAGCAAGTGTAACACTGTTAGCTAATGGTATTATTGATAAATTCTATGTATCAATAAATAATATAACATTGTTTAAGAGACGAAATTGGGTTAACAATAAGTCAATCATCACCCGAGTGACTTTTGTCATTAATTTTATAAACCCATAGTTAGATCTCCCTCTTTAATATCAATCTCCATTGGTTTCGTATTATTCGATCATATCGGAATTTAATTTCTATCCGTTTGAAATAAGTTCATTCACTTAATGGAATGCACGTTATAAAAGTTTACACAAACATCCAGAAATAAAGATTATCATAGATCAGAATTAGTCAATATAATTACAATAAATTACAGATGAATAAATTAGAAACAGAGGAAATTGATTTCAATAGATGTTCATATAGACAATGTTATGTTTTCGTTTTCCGCTTCGGTAGTTTTACCGAGAAAGTAATGCATGATCGCTGCTTTGGATTATATTTATTCAAGGATCGCGAAATAAAATTTCTGAGATGCATTTCTATTAATTTATTAATCATAATTATGCATTCCTATAATAAATTAGATTCGAAAATGCATAATGCGTGATCGATACTTTAGATGATGTTTGGTCAAGGATAGCGAAATAAAAATGCCGAATTTCATTTAGATTAATTTATTAATCAGAATTTAGGCGACATACATTAAATTATTGATAGATCGATGTACAATATGAGATACAGAAATTCTAATCTACACTTTAGTATTTCGCTGAAGAATTGCACTTCGAAAATAGGGATTAGTCATTTGGTCAAGGAACATGAAATAAAAATGCAAAGATTCATTTCCATTAATTTATTAATCAGAATTATTCATTTTTACAATAAATTAGAGACAGAGAATAAATTAGACACAGGGGAAATTGATTTCAATAGATATTCATTTAGACAATGTTATGTTTTCGTTTTCCGCTTCGATAGATTCAATTAACAAAGTAATGTATGATCGCTGCTTTGGATTATATTTATTCAAGGATCGCGAAATAAAATTTCTGAGATGCATTTCTATTAATTTATTAGTCATAATTATGCATTCCTATAATAAATTAGATTGGAAAATGCGTAATGCGTGATCGATGCTTTAGATCATGTTTGGTCAAGTATAGCGAAATAAAAATGCTATTTAAATATGAACGCTATAATCACAATATAGAGGCATACTTAACCGCGAGAGCGATATTTCATCCGACTATTATTTATTTCTTTATTTGTCAATTTTTCTGTGCTCGACATTCCCGAGCTCAGATGGCACTTTCGAACATTCATCCGACTAAAAACTATCGACTAAGTCGATAGTACGTTGCGATTATTCCCTAGGTAGTCGATACTTTAAATTAGTCGATAGGGTCGATAGTGCCCATCACTAGCTCAAAGTGGTTTGTAAATTTGTGGCATGGTGTGACATCGTGTACTGTACTGCAGTCTCTAAAAACCGAAGAAGAAAACGTGGCGATATACACAGAAAGTCTGTGAAATGATCAGGACTCGAATTTAAAACTCGAACGATTAGTTAATTAGAATGACAACTAATGAAGGATCTGTGGACAATAGCCTGTTGAAAAGGCTTGTCAAGGATGACGAAAAGAAGGTTGTGAATTGCCGAAGCAGCACGGACAACATTGAAGGACACAAATTGCGACATGGCACAGACAGTTTCCCAAATATCAATGAAAGGCCGGTTGACGATATCTCGATCGAATTCTTTTATAAACCGCACAGCATTACGCTGCTTCTCATCTCGATAGGTGCTGTGATATACTTTGCATTCACTAGGTAAATGAATATTCGTATCTATCCTTCAGACTTGATCGTTCAAGTTTTCTAAATGTTTGTGATGATTGAATGCAGGGATACTAATAACGTGGAGGACAACATTTGGACTGGAATACTTTGCATCATATTTTTTTTTCTCATCATATCAATACTTACATTTCCAAATGGACCATTTACAAGACCTCATCCAGTCGTCTGGAGACTTGTATTTGGTTGTAGCGTACTTTACCTAATGGGCCTACTGTTTCTACTGTTTCAAGATTACAATACAGTCAGAAAGATCTTTGTTTGGATAGATCCAAGCTTGGAATCATTTCACATTGACATGGACAAAGAATATGGTGTTAACTGTTCAGAAATTACAATCGAGAAGATATGGAACCATTTAGATGTCTTCGCACTCGCCCATTTCTTAGGATGGACCTTCAAAGCAATATTAATTCGTCATCTTGGTATTCTTTGGGCCATTAGCGTTATGTGGGAAGTAACAGAAATAGCATTTGCTCACTTACTACCAAATTTTATTGAATGCTGGTGGGACGCTTTTATACTTGACGTAGTTGTATGCAATGGCTTGGGTATTTGGGTTGGATTGAAAATTTGTTCCCTCTTGGAAATGAGGGAATACAAATGGGTAAGCATTTTTGACATTGAGAGCACCACTGGCAAATTGAAAAGAGCAATGCTGCAATTCACTCCCGGCAGTTGGACTGCTGTTAGATGGTTGGACCCAACCTGTACATATATGAGATTCGTTGCTCTGTGTCAGTTAGTCATATTCTGGCAGGTTTCAGAGCTGAACACATTTTTCTTGAAACATGTGTACGAATTCCCACCCTCTCACCCATTTGTTGTGACAAGACTGATATTGGTTGGAGTAATCGTTGCACCTTCTGTTAGGTAGGCACGAGTTCTAACATGTATCCGTTACATAGATTTCTATTCTATACGTGTGAACTATTATTACAATAGTTGCAACTATATTATTTATACTAATATTTTATACTATTTTAACATTATTGTAGGCAATACTACATGTATGCAACAGATCCGACATGTAGTAGAGTAGGGACACAGTGTTGGGTCTATGGTGCCATTATGGTTACGGAGGCATTGCTTTGTATAAAGCACGGTGCTGCTCTGTTTGAACGTACTCAGGCATTAAACATTCTTCTGTGGCTACTTTGCCAGTCTCTAGTCTCGGTTCTTTGCGTTTATGGCTGTGTATTATGGCACCGGTACTTCGAGGTATGTGTCTCGTGATTTCAAATCGAGTTTGATTTTGTCCATTTGACGACTAACAGTATGGTCTTTTTTTATTACTTCTGCATGGATTTCGTCTTTTCAGACGGAAAAGAAACCTACTACAAAACAATCTATCATACAGCTAGGCAGCAACCAACTGGATATGACTCATAGCAGTGGTATGTCCATTATACTTGTTTGTAATGTAAATAACGATCAAGTCGACGGTGTACCAAATTATTGACTTATAATTAACTGGTTACTAAATATAAAGCGAGTCTTGCAATCTGTTACTCAACTGGCATGACTGACGTAAATACCGAATAAATTGTGTCATGGATGATTTCTGTTTCTTGCTCTTGATATTAAAGAACATTTACAAGCTTAATCGATGCACGATACGTGTATATTTATACGTGTAATATTAGTAAGAGTGCACTGTCAGAGCTCAGTTCATCATTGGTAAATTAAATGTCGGATCAATTGATTAATCATTTAGAAGATGTAATTTGTGTTCTAGGAGACATGGTCTACACTACAAAATCTATGGACATCTTGGAGAAGAAGCAGTCGTGAACAAGCTCACAACGAGAAATGACCGATTTACAAGTAAACTTATTTACACCAGGGATAGGCAATTCGTACTCTTATAAAAGTTCGAGAGTAGGCATTAGGAAGCTCGTGATTAGATAGCGAATGCTATTGAGAGCCTCCTTTTCTCCGTTGCGTTCGATCCACAGAATTGACGCTCTCTTTCGAACCTTTCCAATTTCCGTATCTCTAACGTTCCCACCGTAGCTCCTGAACAAAATTCTTGATCGAAAGCAATCGAATTGCCCATCCCAGATTTATACTATCAAATTTTCTAGTCGTATTACATAAGATCATACAGAGTAGAATATTCGAATTTAAAAAAATTAATGAATGCATGATGTTTGCATATTGCGGTTGTCTGGACGTGAACGTTTAGAAAAAATAATATTGTTCCTGAGAATAAATGAAGAGCGTCGTTACCACTTAATCACGCTTCCTTATGAAAATATAATTTACGCGTCTTTTGCATGTGTTCGTATGCGCGTTCCTTCATTCAGTCGGTACACGGAAGGTAGGGAAATGCGTTGCAAAAGTAACTCGGCATTATCCGTGAACCTTCCGAACAATTCCAAGCTTTACCGATGAGTCTGATATTAGATGCAGTGACAAAAATGCGAATCGGACTCGGTAGCTGTTCGCTCTCGTACAGCGATATATACGATGACGTAAGTGGTGACTTCGTACAATGCATCTATAAAGGTAATGAGGAATATGTTTGTTTACGATAATCGTCATAGCGATTTTAATTTTATTTGAGATGCCATAAATATTACTGTAACAAAAGTACCTGAGCATAGGTGAGATAGAATAACTGATTCACGTTAAGTTGAAGCCATGGAAGGACGATTTCCTTGGGAGATCTCAATCGATCCAAAGTATCGTAGGCTAATCTCACTCCCATTATCTCGGATAAACGTTCATTTAGGGTTAATTGTGGGATCTGAAACGGCAGTTAGGAAAAATGGAATTACCGCTTAAGTAATACTTTTTACTTTAAAATAATATTTTTACAGATCATAATGATCCTATAGTAAAAGCAAACGCGTGGGTTTACCTCGTAAACTATGGTTTGCCCGGTGGATGCTAGTGTCGAATTCATTGAATCTGAATACAGATAATTTCTCTGTACATTAATATAATCGTCGAAGATTGTGTTCGTGGAGTCGTTATTTAGCAAAGTGTTATTGGCATCGCGAGTTCCATTCCAATAATAGATACCTAACGATATACGTATATTAATAAGGTATATTGTTAGACGTTTGGATGATAAAGTATTTCTGGGGTCTTTGAAAGAATCTGTTAAATGTTTATAACGTTGAATTACATATTGTTAATATGTATACCGTTTGCGTCGAAGTGATGAGCAATTTGGTGTGCTATCACGTTACCGAGCGTAGCAAGTTTTATGTAATCAAATTGGGGTTCGTTGTATTCAATAGACCAGTCGATTGCACCAAAGGGTATTATAACGAGATTTAGTCCATAAATCGCGAGCCCTTTGGACTGGTACGGCGTTGCGTAGTGTGTCCAACTGCATGTACAATATAAGTATATATAATTACGCGTAGGTGTTTCATATGTTTAGTTTTAATTGCAAAATGCTTACACGTGCTCAGGAGAGCCGGGATTTAGAGAAAATTCTGCGTACATTAGCTTTCGATACCTCTGCATCAAAATTATTGAATTCTCGAAGTAATTGTTTTTTAGATTTACCTAAAAGTAAACTAATTCTAAGGTATCATTTAACATAGACAAATTTAATGACATGATAATATGAGGTTGTATAAAATGTTACAATGATACAATTCGGCGCACACTTCGTATTATTTTATTTAAATAATTTTTCATACCTCGGTTGCATTATACTTCCTATACGTTGACTCCGTATCGGTAAGATACGAAACATTAGGCGTAACAACTTTGAGATCATTTATTTTCGTAATTAGTGCATCACGTTGCTTTTCTGTTACCCATTCTACGCTCTCAATCTTTTGTTTTAGACTTGTCCTAAGATCTTCAAATAAATCGTGTATCTATTGAATTGCACGGTAGAAATTATGTTTTAAGTAGTTAATTTTTTTTTATGGTCATAAACGAAATTATAACTCTTACCGTACTATTCATGTACGCAAGTCGATCTTCCGAAAACGAGGAGATATACAAGTTTGAAGCTTCTGCGATTAAAACATTCGCTGTTATGCGAAGGCAGTATTTTCTGATATCTCGATATTTTGATAGAACGAACTGAAAGAATCCAATTGAAAGGGAAATTATATTAATGCTGCCGGTATGTTCAAATATTTGGATAGTTAGAAATTCATGCCGAAAAGAGTTTCCGATGTATCTGGTTCTTTTGAACTGTTCGGATTACATCGGTTATTCGAGCGGGGTATAACTCGGTTCGCCTTTTTCGAGTACTCGAACAGCTCTAACTAAATGATATACATATATTGATCAGGGAAAACCAGCATACCTGGTGATAAAGATCGTGGGCGTACAATCCTAATAGTGCGTTATACAGTAACATAGGATAATGCGGTCCGATTGCTTTGTCTTCTTTCAAGTTTTTCAACCCCTCAGCCAAAACTTCATAAAAGTAAACTTGCACTTTCGCATCGGGATTAATTGTGTAATTTGTTGTATAATGAATTAGATGAGTCCAATTTACCTGAGTTCGAAAACATATCAATTTTAACTCCGAGGGATCAACTTACTTTAAACATTGTCTTATTTCAACTTAATTTCACCCTTACCGGTTTGAAGTCACGTTCTAATTCCTTGATCGAGTGAAGCGTATAATTTTTCATTAAATACGCTTCTCGAATCTTATCCCTCGTAGGAAGAGCCTGAAGATAAAAGAAAAGAATAGAATATTGATAGAACTCAAACATTTGTGATGTATCGAGATCCAATAAACTTACCTCGACGAATTTTTTCATTATGACTATATCAATGACATTTATAGTTAATTGCCTTTGCTGGATATTGTCGAATATGCCAAGCGCAGTTAAGGCTTCCGCTACAGAGCTCATAAATCTACTTGTATTGTTCTAATAAAAACAAAAAAAGCATCATTTGCTATATATATTTAAATTGACAAAACATTTTGTCAGTTTAAATATCATATAATATATCGTATCTATGTACATACCTTGCACGTTTTGTAATGCGCGTACAAATCTTGTAGATACACCGTCTTACTTTCCATTTCGAATTTACTTGCATCGTAGCAGGGATCATCCGATGGATCTGTGTTAAAAGGACTGCCGTGTATCGTTGGTCCTATTCTAATAGTGAACAGTTTCGGCTGGTACTCGTCGAGATCCGGAGCGACGTCGAACAATAATGCGCTATAGAAACGAGAGGCGAGTATATGTATTTATGCAACGTCAGATATTTTTCTACGACCGTTGTTACATATTTCTCACCTGTTGTACGACAATAGCTTAGCTATCAACTCCGTAAAGCTTGTATGATTCTCGAAAAACTCACTGGAATTAGTGTAAAACTTTCCTATCCCATCTAATACTTCTCTGACTGTAACAAAAGTGTAATATAATATCATCGAATTAATATTAATAAACCGTCGCGACATACCCATTTGAATTCTTTCTGTTCGATTGATCTGCTCGTAGTGTATGCAACTTTGATAATACTGTGCGAAAAGAGACGGTCTACTTTTTCCTTTCAGGTTTTTCTTATTCTCTTCTTCTTTTTGCATTTGACCTGATTGAGAGTAAAATTAATTATCTCGGTTCTCTCTGTTATAAGAAATTAAACGATACATACGTAAAATTCGTTGATGAGCTACATCTTCCAAATTCTGTTCAACAGTTCTAGGATTGGCTTCAAAACCACCGCAAGCGTATTCGTAAAAGTCTTCGCATGGATCAATCGTATGATTCATGTAGAATAACATTTTACTAGCATGATTTTTACATTCGCCTGTGTCGCACACTTCATTATTCAATAGATCAGAAATCATATTATCTGTTAGTTCATTCACTAAACTCGACTCAGTCGTTGTTTTTTGTAAATACTCGTTCATAGATTTAGTTGTTGTAATACTTTCTTCATTCATCTTATTATTGGGTTCATCATTCATACTCGACTTCGTAGTTTTTTCTTGTAAATTCTCGTTGACAGATTCAGTTACTGTAATATTTTCTTCATTCGTCTTATTATTGGGTTCATCTGTAATACTTTCGTTCGTAGTATCCTCTTCATATTTTATCGTATCAGTTTGACTGAATTTTGTAACAGCTTCTGTCGTACTTCGGTCTGTGGAATCTTTTTTATGTTCTCCGACAACATTTTCATTTAATCTCGTAGAAATAATGATTTCTGTTATATTTCCATCTGTGGTATTTTCGTACCGTTCGATTAATTCTGTAAAATCTGTGGTTCCTGTAGTACTTTCATCTACGATACCCTTCGTTTCATAATATTTTTCTCTAGTTGAAATTGATGCATATACTGTAATATTTTCTTCATTCGTCTTATTCTTGGATTCATCTGTTACGTTGATACAATTCTGATTTGTAGAAGTAGGAACTTCTGTACTATTGTTATCCGTTATATATATTTTATTATATTCTTCCGTAGTAATTTCTTTTAATTCCGTATAATTAGAAGCTTCTGTAATACTTTTGTCCGTAGTATTCTCTTCATATTTTATCGTATCAGTTTGACTGAATTTTGTAACAGCTTCGGTCGTACTTCGGTCTGTGGAATCTTTTTTATGTTCTCCGACAACATTTTCATTTAATCTCGTAGAAATAATGATTTCTGTTATATTTCCATCTGTGGTATTTTCGTACCGTTCGATTAATTCTGTAAAATCTGTAGTTCCTGTAGTACTTTCATCTACGATACCCTTCGTTTTATAATATTTTTCTCCAGTTGAAATTGATGCGTATAATTGCTTGTCAGTAGAAGATAGAACTTCCGGAGTAGTTTCTTCATTTCGAAATGTCTCGAGTACAGATGAATTATTAATATTAATAATCCAATCTGTGCTATTAATGTTAATTATATCAACATTTTCCGAAGATATATTTATCTCCGATGTGAATTCTAATTCTTTTGAATCCTTCGAGTTCGCGGAAGTAGTGGTGCTGGTTCTCTCAAGTTCATGATGACGATGATGCTACGGGAACGCGAAATTTAGATCGTTTGCTCATCGTTCTTAATATTGGAAGAACTCACCTGTGCCGTTTCCACATGCTGATCTTTCTGCTCAGGCCGGTAAGAATTGTACGATTTCCATGGCAAAGCAGCAAGAATTAGAATGATGCAGAGAAAAAGAAATATTAATAACGTTACAACACAACTACGAAAAGATTGGTCCCGTTGAGCCACTTTTCCTTCTTCTATATTCGAAATTTGGTAAGAACCTCGAGAAGGCATTGTATAATTGTTCGGACTAATTTTTTAATACAACATACGACCACACGAGAGTGCAGATTTTTTTCTACTGAACCGAACCCGAATAGTCGCTTATTGTTGGAACGAAGGATGTGGTTGTGGTTTCACCAACCACTTCCTTTTAACGTTATCTCGAAAATACCCGCAAATTATGATATTCCCTCCACAGAGTTTTTAAATAATGGTGTTAGCTCGATCTACGCGGTAAAAGGATTGCATAGTTGAGTAAACAAAAAAATACACTCGCTTTGAGACAAGCATCATTTTCTTTAATACATTCATAAATTCCAAACGGCCGGCCTAAGGAAGGCGACATTAAAAATACTTGAGATAGATAGATATAAGTTACTTATATTAATATATTTTATAATACAATTATCACAGATATGTAAACTACAAAATATTATTATATACTATTATAAAATGCAACTTGCAGTTTGCCAATGATCCCATTGCACGTAGTATAACAACTTATCTATATTCTAGACTATATATTAGAATTTAAATACAATTAAAANGTGCTATTAATGTTAATTATATCAACATTTTCCGAAGATATATTTATCTCCGATGTGAATTCTAATTCTTTTGAATCCTTCGAGTTCGCGGAAGTAGTGGTGCTGGTTCTCTCAAGTTCATGATGACGATGATGCTACGGGAACGCGAAATTTAGATCGTTTGCTCATCGTTCTTAATATTGGAAGAACTCACCTGTGCCGTTTCCACATGCTGATCTTTCTGCTCAGGCCGGTAAGAATTGTACGATTTCCATGGCAAAGCAGCAAGAATTAGAATGATGCAGAGAAAAAGAAATATTAATAACGTTACAACACAACTACGAAAAGATTGGTCCCGTTGAGCCACTTTTCCTTCTTCTATATTCGAAATTTGGTAAGAACCTCGAGAAGGCATTGTATAATTGTTCGGACTAATTTTTTAATACAACATACGACCACACGAGAGTGCAGATTTTTTTCTACTGAACCGAACCCGAATAGTCGCTTATTGTTGGAACGAAGGATGTGGTTGTGGTTTCACCAACCACTTCCTTTTAACGTTATCTCGAAAATACCCGCAAATTATGATATTCCCTCCACAGAGTTTTTAAATAATGGTGTTAGCTCGATCTACGCGGTAAAAGGATTGCATAGTTGAGTAAACAAAAAAATACACTCGCTTTGAGACAAGCATCATTTTCTTTAATACATTCATAAATTCCAAACGGCCGGCCTAAGGAAGGCGACATTAAAAATACTTGAGATAGATAGATATAAGTTACTTATATTAATATATTTTATAATACAATTATCACAGATATGTAAACTACAAAATATTATTATATACTATTATAAAATGCAACTTGCAGTTTGCCAATGATCCCATTGCACGTAGTATAACAACTTATCTATATTCTAGACTATATATTAGAATTTAAATACAATTAAAAAATATATTTAAAAACTCTATTCGCCTGTCTGTTGTACCGCATATGTATTAATGTTGCGTTTGATTTCATTGTCCGTTGCATTGTCAGGTTTCATGAGAGCTTCGATCGTCGAACCGATTTCCTTTGATACGGAAATATTTTCTAGTTTTTTGGTATCGGTTTCATCTTTGTAATCGTCGGACCTTAACATTTCGGAGGTGATCTGAAACGCGAAAATATTATGAATCACCGCATTTATATTGTAGATTAACGTCGGTTCATTAGGTATCGTTCGAATTACTTTTCTTTGTACTTCTTCAGCCTTAAATTTCTCTAGCTTCTCCTTATCAGCAAGTCCAATTGCAGTCTTTGATGATGTTTGTCTCTTTGGAGTAGGTTTCCTTGGCTTGAATGATCCAGATGCTTTCTTAGGTAACTGTGAACTCATGTGTTTTTTAGTCTCGTTCGACTGGTCGCAATTATGAGTTAGCAATTGTTCCTTAGTTTTGAATGCCTGAAAGAAGACGATGCATTTAAAAAAGTGCAAATATGCTTCTCATAACCGATGTATTCGTTTAGACTTACGTGTGAACAAATCTCGCATTTTAAACTATGTTTATTCATTTCGTGATACTTAAGAGCTTGCGCCCGATGGAAATTACGATTACAGTGGCTACAACTAAATCTTTTTATATTGCTGTGCGTCAGTAGGTGACGCTTTAATTTATCAGGTCGTGAGAACTCGCTCATACATCCTAAATAACTTCTGAAGGGGCACTTTAATCTCTTCGTTAAATCGTGAATCAACATATGACGACCCAAGCGATCTTTTCGTTTGAATCTAGCCGGACAGTGCTAAAAGAAACAGAGTAGGTGGATAAAAAAGAATTTACTTTTGAGTACATTTGATGTTTTTTAATCAATTGATTCACTCACTGGGCATAGGAACGGCGTTTCCTCGCTATGTATTAACTTATGATTGGCTAAATATTGCTCAGTTTTAAAGGCCTTCCCGCAGTCTTCACAGGCAAATCGTGCGGGCGAGGCGTGTGTCTTCAAGTGACGTCGCAAGAATCGTTCGATCAAGAAACTCTTTCCGCAATGATGACAAGCATAGTCGTGCGTCGTCGTTTCTGTGTGATGTTGTAAAGCCTCCAAGTTTGAGAAGGAGGATTTACAAACGGAGCAACAGTAATATTTCTCTGTTGTTTTCTGTTTTTGGACGGAATGAGCGTATTGATGAAGCCCCAGATCGGATAGAGTATTGAATACTTCACCGCACACGTGGCAACGATATTCCGATCTCTTGTGGCTGCGAGTGTGTTCCAAGAAATCCTCGAGCTCGGCGAACATCATGCTACAGCTATTTTGCACGCATTTGTACACTTTCAATGCTAAATGAGAGACTATAAGATGGCCCTTTAGAGCTTTGTAAGAGTCAAATATTTCTTTGCAAAACTGACAATGATAGGTACGATCTATGCTTCCGTCTGCTGGTGCCTAATAATGGTGATGAACTAATTAAACAAAAACAAAGCGAGGACGTGAAAGGGAATCATGAGCGCGTGCCAAGACGTTTAAAATACCTCGGGAGGCAGCGAGTGTATAGCCGTGCCTGGCCACACTTTATGTGACGACATATGCTTTTTAACATTTGACTTTTGTGCGAAAGCGCGCCCGCACACAACACATTGATATGGTTTTTCCCCTGTATGTGAACGTTCGTGTTGCTGCCAATAAAATTTCTTTGAGAATTGTTTATTACAATAACCACACTTATACTGCAAATAGAAAAATTGTTACCGTAAAGTATAATATATAGAAATAATAAGATTTAAAACTGATAAGCGTTGAACCTTTAAATTTTGAGTTTGATAGGTAGTAGTTTCAGTTGCGATTTGATCTTCAGTTATCGGTATATCAACTTTACTTGTATCGATAATATTTTGCTCTGGAGAAATATCACTTTGGAGAATTTGAGGTACTTCGTTTGAATCATCTTTCATGGATTCATTATCCTCTGGAATAGGAGAGCTTGTAAAAGTATCCAACCCTTCTGAACTTAATATAATTGGAACACTAAATGTGGAATCTGTTGCAAAATAATTAGCACCTTCTTGATCCATGCTATAACAAATACACAGAATTATTAAGTGAAAAAGTATATAACAAGTATTATAAAACGCATATTTTATTACTGAATTACCTAAATAGCATGTCTGACTCTTCGAGTATAATTGGTTCACTGAGCTGATCATTTTCAACAAATGTTTCTTGTGGATCATATTGAGATACATCTTGACTATTGTCATCTGCGTGAACTGCTTGATTTGCATCGTTCACCAAAAACTGACTCAAATCTACTGTTTGCTCTTGCGTTTTCTGGTGTGTCCTTTTGTGTAACATAAACATGTGTAATGATGTAAATTGGCTTTTACACTTTCCACACTGGAATATGTCTTCATCATCTTGGTCAATAGCTGGATACGAAATATATAAAAATATTGGTTAGACAATAATTCTACTCTACATTCCTATGGAACGAAATCCTCATCAATTAACAGGTTATATCGGTCGTTTCATCAATAACTCACCTGACTCTTCAACTTCGGTTATTAAAGTCTGGGACTCTAATAACGATTGCACAGGACTGTCCAAGGACACGCCTATAAACAAGATGGGCAGAATGATTGAAGTGTTCGAGTTACTCCATGAATTTTACTTTCGAACGCAAAGATAAATACTGGATTAACCCCACCTATTTCTATGATAGAAAATCATTACCTGTTAAAGCGTCGAAAATAGATTGCGCCATGTTTTGCAATAATATTAACTCTTCATTTTAAGCGAAGTCAATGATCAAGCCTTCATGGATCATTTAATATGAAGAAAATGAATAAATTCCAAGTTGAAAACATACCGAGAATTTCTACGCCCTGCCAGCGTTGTTGCTGACCAGGCCAGCGAATGATAATCGATATGTCGACTGCTGAAAACGATTCTAACCTGCAATAAGGTTTGGGGGAGGAGAAGTCGCTATGATCGCTAGCATCGAATCTCGAACGCGTCATTCACATCAGTAGTCAGTGCGTGTGGTGTAACATTTAAATTTGTCTTATTGAAAGAAATCCATAATTAACGATGGCAGCGATATTACGTGTGAAACGCAGATATACAGACGAGCCATTGAATGCCTTAGTGATCTCGTGTAAAAGACAGAAAACTGCAGAGAACGAAGAAGCCGAAACGACATTATTAACACCTGTAACCACTGTTGCTAAATTTGCTGGGACTGTTGATAAACAGGTTTGTATTTAGAACATTCAGCGTCTTTTTATTAATGGTTTACGTTATTCTGATTGATTCATTCATTTTGTCCTCGAAGGAAGACAGTGTCGAAGATATCATTCATAATTATGAAAAAGACAAGCTAAAAGCAAATTTCAAACAACATCCTGTGGATGTTCTGAGTAAGGCAAGAAAACTAACGAAACATGCTTCAGCGGAAAGTCGTTACAAAGTAGTCAGCTTCTTTCGATCTTTGGACAATTCCAATCATGAAGATACGAAAGAGAAATGTACCACAGTAATCGATATAGAAGATTCAAGATCTATGGCAGAGGAAGAGTCTACAGAAAAAGTATGTAACGATTATTATGTGCCTTTGATTAGGTATTTTAATATGACATTTATACAATATAAGTTAATATTTTACAGGACAACAATTATGTATATGATTTGTATTATGCACAAACGGAAGACGACATATACTTAGATGATGAGGTATTGGTGCATCCATATGAACAAGAATTGGTTTTCGATAATTATAGAGATGAAAGTTATCGAGTCGAATGTGAGTCAGAGGACTCGAATTCAGAATCCAATTGGAGAAATGATTATCCTGATTCTGACCATTCCGAAAGATCAATTAATGAGGATGATATGAGAGAAGCTATAATGAACATGAAAATAAATCAAGAATCCGACTTATCCGATGACGATGATTTTGTCTATGCAATTGATGAAGCTGATGTAAATGCTTATGGTTACTCGTACGCGAGGTATAAAGCAAGGCTGAAAGAAGAATTGGGAGAATCAGAGGAGGATAGTCTCTCCGAAGAATCAGTCGAGGATAATTGAAAAAACATATTAAGTAAGCTTTAATGTTAATAATAATAATTGTGTATATACTGTACAAGAGAATGCTAAGGATAGGACAGATATATTTTGTTTATTAAACTTGTTCTCCAAATTTTAAACATCTATAGCTTTATCTCTCCTACTATGTAGAAATAAGAAATCATAAGGATCTTAGAGTTTTATTTCTATGTTTATATATTTGTTACATATTTATGTAGATATATTTGTCTGCAAAATTCTTTTATCAAAATAAAATCAATGAAGGCCGAGCCTGAACGTCGATGTGATAAAAGGAAGGTGCGTGTATAGGTATTTAGAAAAAGAACTGTTTTTGACGATATGGCATATAATGATATACCAGATTTATAATATATATAACAAATATGTCGAAGATATCATTCATAATTATGAAAAAGACAAGCTAAAAGCAAATTTCAAACAACATCCTGTGGATGTTCTGAGTAAGGCAAGAAAACTAACGAAACATGCTTCAGCGGAAAGTCGTTACAAAGTAGTCAGCTTCTTTCGATCTTTGGACAATTCCAATCATGAAGATACGAAAGAGAAATGTACCACAGTAATCGATATAGAAGATTCAAGATCTATGGCAGAGGAAGAGTCTACAGAAAAAGTATGTAACGATTATTATGTGCCTTTGATTAGGTATTTTAATATGACATTTATACAATATAAGTTAATATTTTACAGGACAACAATTATGTATATGATTTGTATTATGCACAAACGGAAGACGACATATACTTAGATGATGAGGTATTGGTGCATCCATATGAACAAGAATTGGTTTTCGATAATTATAGAGATGAAAGTTATCGAGTCGAATGTGAGTCAGAGGACTCGAATTCAGAATCCAATTGGAGAAATGATTATCCTGATTCTGACCATTCCGAAAGATCAATTAATGAGGATGATATGAGAGAAGCTATAATGAACATGAAAATAAATCAAGAATCCGACTTATCCGATGACGATGATTTTGTCTATGCAATTGATGAAGCTGATGTAAATGCTTATGGTTACTCGTACGCGAGGTATAAAGCAAGGCTGAAAGAAGAATTGGGAGAATCAGAGGAGGATAGTCTCTCCGAAGAATCAGTCGAGGATAATTGAAAAAACATATTAAGTAAGCTTTAATGTTAATAATAATAATTGTGTATATACTGTACAAGAGAATGCTAAGGATAGGACAGATATATTTTGTTTATTAAACTTGTTCTCCAAATTTTAAACATCTATAGCTTTATCTCTCCTACTATGTAGAAATAAGAAATCATAAGGATCTTAGAGTTTTATTTCTATGTTTATATATTTGTTACATATTTATGTAGATATATTTGTCTGCAAAATTCTTTTATCAAAATAAAATCAATGAAGGCCGAGCCTGAACGTCGATGTGATAAAAGGAAGGTGCGTGTATAGGTATTTAGAAAAAGAACTGTTTTTGACGATATGGCATATAATGATATACCAGATTTATAATATATATAACAAATAATTGGAAGTACCAGATTAAAGATTTACAAATGTCCGGGAATAATGATGCATCTTCTCTGTGATGTATTATCAAATCTTTTGTATTTATTTCGTAATGGAATATCGTGAATTAAACTCGTCTTTCTTTATTAGCGGGAGGCATGTAGATAACATAATAATTATCTTTTTATAAAAGTATCCGCGAACATTCGCGCGTTTCATCTGACTACTCTAGTTCGCCGAAAATACGAAAAAAACAATTTTTATATTAAACTAAGACTTTTTTGAGAAAGTCGTTACGTCGTTCAAAATGTTTGGACAACGTTTAGATTATAACATTTCACGTATTTTGTTTCTCCTCTCCTTTCAGTCTCTCTTTCGCACGTTTCATCTCATTCACCGTCGAGCACGTTCATACACATGGAGAAAAATTCATGCCTTTAACGAACTCGTTTATTTTGATATGAATAGTACGCTGCGTATACGTGTAACACTGGCCTTAATCCTAATTTTTACATTTTACGCGCTTGCAACGAATCCGTTTCCTTCATTATACTTGTTCTTCCAAGTACACGCGATGTCTTTCCTCCTTTTTGATTGTAATGTTTAACGAAGCAAATGCGTTGGTAAGAATCCAATTATACCGTATCCGGAATTTGACGAGAAATACTAGAGACCATCGGTTCATTTTAATCGTTCTCCTTTCGCTCTTCAAAGAGATCGAGACTGTTGGCAATGCGATGGGGAAACGACACCGGTCGCTTATTCTTCCTTATGGCAGTTTGGATACAGCTATCAACGTATTTACTTGTCCAGAAATATAAGCGCGA